ATGGAAAGCATCATCGATAAGAATGGAGGCTATTTCATTTAATAAATATTTTGTTTTGACACATAAGTTGTTGGGTTTTTTCATCTAAAAAAAACAACATTAATTTCTTGACGACCTAATATATTCGTGTATGTTTTTCTATAGGCATTGAACTGTTTATAAATATAGGTACATTTATGTGTGTGTTTATGCATAGGAATTGAACTAACTGTATGTACACACTTGTGTTTGAATAATAAATCATGCACATTAATTAGTAAAGCATGTAAATTATTATATAGATACATTAGTTATTATAAAATTTATCTACTATATCTTGTAACAACACCAAGACTCATCGGGGATACGACAGATATAATACTGGTAGTTGTTGAAATATATTAAGAGGTGTAGAACAGTATGTTTGAAGAAAGATTAAATACATTAATTAGTAAGGCCTTTAAAGTACTGTCTGAACTACACACGTTAATTAGTAAGGCCTGTACAACAGGTTTTTGCATTATTTTTGAAAGCCTCTACTTATTTATCAAATAACTGTACATACAACTGTTCATGTGAACAATTAATGAAACTAGAATATTTAGTGCAGAAAAGGAATGTTTCAAATGTAATCAACACTAAACATTCTACCAAAACGAACTGGAGAAGTTGTTATATAAATACTGTTTTAGGTAAAATCAGTAATTTTAAAATTTACTTTCATTACATAAAACTACAAAGTTAATTTTTTTTAATTTCCAAGGATTTGTATTTCAAAAATTAAATGAAAAGAACAAATTAAAACGATGGTCTTTCTTCTACTTTTACCTTTTCTTTGCTGCAGTTTTCGTTTGAACTAAGATTTTTTCACAGTGCTGTTTTCTTTCTTTACACTTTTCCTTTTTTCTTTATTTTCTTTTTTTGTATAATAAAGATAAGTACATCTTCAGTTACGTCTTTACATTGAGTTTGGATGGGCCTGGTTAAAGCGCTCGAGTCGCAATCTGAGGGTCGCTGCTTCGAATCCCCATCACTGAACATGTTCGTTTTTACAGCTGTGGGGTCAATCACACTATTCATTGGTAAAAGGATAGCCCAATAGTTGACGGTGGGTGGTGTTGACTAGCTGCCTTCCCTCTAGTCTATCACTACTAAATTAGGGACGGTTAGCACTCGTGTAGCTTTTCGATAAATTCAAGACAAACAAACGAGTTTAGACTGAAGGGCATTTATTACTTTAGAATTATGTAATTAAACACTCTTACAAAATAAAATAGTGTTTAATTTCCAGTTAAGTCACTAGGGTTAGGAATATTGGAGATTTTATAGTTTGTGTTATAAACGCCTCATGTACTTCGAGAATTTTGCTGCTACCATTTTTTGTACTTGTTTTCATTTGCTCTAACTTATTCAACTATTTCTTTGATGCATTTTCATTTCAAAATTATTGAACAGTTTTCGCATTTATGTTAATTTTGGAAATACTTCGAGCTGAAGAAAAATGTAGTAATATTAAATGTATATGTCATTATTAACAGAATGATATTTAGCAGAAATAGATAACGAATTCAATTCATTTATTTACCTTCATCACATAAAATTACAAAGTTAATTTTTTTGAATTTCCAAGGCTATGTATTTCAAAAATCAAATGGTAAGAACAAATTAATACGGTGGCCTTTCTTCTTTTTCTTTTCTTTGCTACGGTTTTCCTTTGGACCACGATTTTTTTTACAGTGCTTTTTCTTTTTTCCTTTACACTTTTTATTCTTTTCTTTAGATTCATGTGATTCCTTACTATCCTTCTCTGAACTATCTTTATTATTAACTATTTTACAATGCACTTTTCCTTTCTTGTGTACATGACATTCTACCTGGAACAGAGTTATTGTTGTTGGTGGTGTTGTACTCGTTCCTTTTGTTGTTGACATTGTAGTGCTTGCCCCGTTTGTTGTCGTTGATGTTGTGCTTGTTCCTTCTGAAGTTCCTTGCTTAGTTGTCGAAATCGTTGTGCTTGATGATTCTTCTGTTGAGAAGGGTATTTTATCTGTCACGGGTTCTGTGTATCCGGGAACATTAGGGTCATATTTGTCATTGATTCTGTCAAAATCTTCTCTCTCATGACTTTGTGGTAGGGAATGGATTACTGTAGTAATGGCTAGACATCCAGCAATAATTGTCGATATCCACTTATTTTCATTCTAAAAAACAGAGAAACTTGAATTGTTTTAACATATTCAACCAATAATTAGCACAAAACGAGCCCAGTTGACATAAGACAACAAAATCATTTATAAATGTTCACTTTGATTTTCAATCTACTAAGAAGATAAGTATATGAAAATTATGCTTGAACAAATAAATCAATATTTGCTTAAAATATATACTGATATCGTATTTCCTGAGAAACTGTTATGTTTATCGATGCATGAGTTAAGCCTAACCGTAACACTAAGAGAAACTGTTATGTTTATCGATGAACGAGTTAAGCCTAACCGTAACACTAATTCTCTCTAAGAAAACCAAATATTTACTTGGAATTTGCTACAAAGTTTATGTTTATGTCTTGAGATATACATTTTGAGTTAACGTGAATGTTTTAATATCAGTAAATAAAGTGACTTCGAGCGTATAGATGTTGAAATTCTTATAATGTTTTAGTTTTTCGAAAAAGATAGATTTTTTTTTTAATACTATCAATCTTTAAAACGACGTTATTGATGTATATTATTGCGAAAATGTTGTAATTAAAAACCAATAACGTACTTCTGTTCAGCATATGTACGTTATGAAGTTACTTCCAACTATTTCTATATTTTATACCTATTTTTACTTAATTTTAGAGTTTTTATCTAAATCTAGTACACATTTTAAGTTTTATTCGATAATTTATTCTGATGAGTAACAGAAGCTGTCGAATCTGGTAAAATAAAAATTATGTAAGTTTTGAATTTTAATACATAATATGATTGAATATTGTTTTTTGAAATTTATGCCTAACTTCGAAAGAGATAATTAATACTTAATAAAATTAAAGTCATATAATTCTTTAAAAATCTAGTCCTGAATAAAAAACAAACAACAAGCAGCGAAATTAATGAGTAAACTAAACCACAAGAACAAGATGGAGGATTGGTTAGTAAGCATGAAAGGTCACGTGCGTAAGGTGAGTTATATTACTTAACAGTTATAAAAAGTTATCACTTTTTATAGCTCTGCACCCGTCATTATTAGTTTAAGGGAATGTATCACTGTAACTTACCATTTTGGCATTTGTCTCTCACGAAAATAGGCTTGTGAAGTTTGTTAAACCTTCTGCTACTGAAGATAGTTGTACTTCCTCTCACGTGCTTCCTTTTGTTGTACTTTTTAACAAAAATATAATGTTATCTCGCTCAATCACCAGAATGGCGTCATTCTTTGAGGGAGCTAAGAATCAAGAAGTGAACATCCACTCGGAACTCCGGAGCCGGAATTGACCGAGGAGTTCTGGATGAATACCGTTGTACGTTATAACTTTCGCAAAAAACAAAACAAAAACATTTGAACTGATGACCAGAGGAAAAGCAGCCAGTCAGTAGCATCTGCCGCCTGCACTCGAACCTTGGACTTTATGATACGTAACTCATAATTCAAATGTGCGAGCACAAGGCTTGTACGTTACACGTATTCTCATTAACAGGTTTCTTAATGTCTCTAACGGATGATGATCGCACTATGGATAGATTTGGTGAATATACATGAGAAGATATCACAGAAAATATATCGTGTAAGACGTGACATAATATGAATATCAGTATCCGCTAGTCTCTGTAATAAATGCGCTAATATCTTTTTAACACTTCTTTCTTAACAGGCCCACAATGGTTTCCCAAATGAGGATTATATATAGATGTTCTAACAACTATTCTGTTACTCTGATATATAGATGTTCTAACAACTATTCTGTTACTCTGATACATAGATGTTCTAGCTTAGATTATTTCTGTTTATATATTTCGCTGTGTCTTTCAATAACCAAGCCGCTCAACGATCAAGAACAGCAACATATATGGTCGGTACCTCAATGTTTTCTTATTGTTTGCCGTGCTGCTGTCTGGTGGGTTTGAGAGTAAGCTTCAGAGCTTATAATACTAAAATTCGAGACTCATTTTCCTGACAGACACAACGCACAGTTTTCGGTTTTTACATGAAGATTTTTTTATTAAAGTTTTTAACAACCAATGAGAGTAACTTATTTTTGTACTTTTTACATTTGTCAGACAAAATATTCTAATCATTAGTTGTACTTTTGAATTGTTACTTTTGTTTAAGTTTTTAGCCCTAAATATACGCAGTTTTTTCTTCTCGGATGTTGTAACTAGTACTCTATTTGTATTTGATATATTTGAATTTTAAATGAAAAATAATATACACTTGAAACAATCGTTTTGAGTAAAGTATGAAAATTATATTACGAAATATTGTAAGAATTTCTGTAGGAAATTATACACATTTGTGTGCTTTCTATTTACTTATTGGGTTTGATTTAACTAATTTTTTAACTAATCAAGATACAGATAACTGAGTAAATTCTCTAATTATTTTAATTGTCACCCACAATGTCTCAGTGGCAAGTTTGAGAACGTATAACCCTAAATATTGGGGTTCGAAGCTCCAGGACACTGAAGATAGCCCAATGAGTAGTTTTGTGTTCAGAAATAAAATTTTAATTGAATTGTCCAAAAAAAGTTCAAAGAAACTGGTGTTACTAATATAACCTAAAGGAACGATGAAAATCTTTAATTTAGAAAAAGTTCAAAGAAACTGGTGTTACTAATATAACCTAAAGGAACGATGAAAATCTTTAATTTAGAAAAAGTTCAAAGAAACTAGTGTTTCTAATATAACCTAAAGGAACGATGAAAATCTTTAATTCAGAAAAAGTTCAAAGAAACTGGTGTTACTAATATAACCTAAAGGAACGATGAAAATCTTTAATTTAGAAAAAGTTCAAAGAAACTGGTGTTACTAATATAACCTAAAGGAACGATGAAAATCTTTAATTTAGAAAAAATTCAAAGGAATTGGTGAAGCCAATATAATCTAAATGATAAACGGTAGGCGTACAGGCTTATAATGCAAAAAAATGTGCACGGCACAGACAGTGCATTGTCTAGCTTTGCATTTATCTACAAACAAACAAAATCTAAATGACGGACACAGTAAAATAGTTTAAATTTATAAAGAGAAGTTAAGAAGGTAAAATTCTTTATTTTATACAAATATAATTATTTTTTGGTTTCATTATGTAAAACGCATTAAAAAAAGTGAGAAATCTTTAATCCCAAATGGATTTCTCTTATCATTAAACTTCAATAGATGGCGCTAGTAGAAAGTCGACTTTAATGTTACACAAATCATTACGATAGCATCGAAGTTTCTGAAAATGAAACAGGAAAGAGATTGGTTATATATTCCATAATATAATTTCGATTCTGGTCTGCTTCTACTTCAGAAAAAAATTATATTCCAGTGAACAAAATAAAAAATCGGGATGTGATAAAATGTCAACAAAAATTAATGAAAAAACTTTAAAAGCGCTGACGCTAGGCTAATTAAAACTAGTTTATTGAAAAGTATTTACCACCACAAATTAAGAGAACAACAGCAAGTTTACTTTCTCTTCCTAAATCCTCGATCTGAATATATTGTTGCGTCAGTAGTCACGTGACTACTGACGCAACG